ATGTTCATTTATTTGCATCGGAGTTCCTTCTAACCTTAAAATTACATTAGAATATTACAAAATTCCAGCAATAGGGTATTAGTAATCGATTCAGCGTATGAATTGTTATTGCTGAATTGTGTAAAATTACAGTTTTATTAAAATTTTAAAGATAGATACATTCTTTTATAACATTTATATTATGTAAGTGGCTCTATTAGTACACAATCCGGTATTATAATATAGATTGTAAAAATCGAATTCGTATATGTCTCATATTTGAAAATAGTAGAGAATTATTAAAATGTAATGTGTTTTATACCATTCTTGTCAACGTAGACTATCATTTAATCATTACTTAATAAATAAACATATAAGAAAGTAATTAAGTCACAAGAAGAAAAAAGAAATTAATTAAAAAAAGAGCTTAATTTGCACACCATGCTGATGGTTATTAAAGCACAAAATAAAATAATTTCAGCATTCATAAATATTTTCAATTAAGATTTGGTGTCCCGATTTTTTTTTTTTGATTTTAAAATCCCAATTGTGTAAATAAAGGCTTTTGTAAAGTATTTTCCTCGTGTTAAAAAAATTTAAAAAAAACACAAACATTTTCTTTATAAATTTTTTGCCGTAATATTAGAAATATTAGTAGCTATAAACAATTTCTAATGTTTAAATGGTATATATCTATTTAAGTTAGATCACTATTGTATTACTTAACATGAGCAAGATTCCTACAAACAAATTTCACAAATTAATCATATTTGAAGTTGTTATAAATAATATACCATGGCTAAACCATGGTAATACAGCATTAATACATTTTGATAAAATCTCAATTAATCACTGTACAATTCAGCAATTTACTTTTATAAGCTGAATTGAGTTTTAAAATATAGTAGTCCTAGAAATTTGACTATATTTGATAAAATATGGTAGTCCTAGAAAAAGAAGATTTGATTTATCTTAATGGAAATTTCTTCATGCAACTGCAGAACAGATGGATGACGTAATCAAAGGAACGAGTTAAAGGCAGAAAAATTAATTAAAAAAAATTTTTCTCCTCGAACTGGACTCGAACCAGTGACCTACCGCTTTCTAGGCGGACGCTCTACCAACTGAGCTACAGAGGCATGAAGAAATTGCCGACGAAATGTTCTCTACATTGCTTATACTGTAATTCACATGATTACTAAGTATTTGTTTTGTTTACATTGATTGCTAACTACAATCTACTATTGAAACACACAATAACAAGAACATATATATTTATAGGATTGTGCCTATTGCACTAATTAAATTATGAATTTCATAAGATTTGATTTGTTTCCTTCTTCTACAGCTCAGGTTAAGATCGTATCAAATGTAACTTTAAATCTAGTTATTTGAATTATTGACTTTAATATTGCAGTATATAACATATACACTAACTTATAAATTCGAATTCAGCTTATAAATCGAAATTGCTGAATTGAATATTTATACCACTAAAATCAAAGGAATATATTTTAAATGTAAACTCAGTTACAATATACGGTTTTCTGTTAATGGAATAGCATATTTAGGGTGAATAAGTGAAGTACATATTAGATTTTGACATCTTTATGTTGTGTGGGTGAAAACTAATGAATATTAATAAAGTGTGTCCCGTGCTTTAAGTGGTAAGTATTTTTTTGACCTCATAAATAATAAAATTAAGTAAACTATTGTGTAGTTCCATCTTTCATATTTTTAATTTTATAATTTTCTAATTGGGTAAAAAAATATTTTGTTGTTTTCATAGCACAATATCAAAATATTTTTTTTGTCATTTGAACTTTTGTCATCAAAGTGTTGTCATTATTATTTTTATTATTATTATATTGTTACTTGATTTTTATTTAAACAAATGTTATTTAATTTAATAAAAACGGCTGTTCTTTTTTGTTTTTTTTTAATTTCTTTTAAATTTTTCATTTGTGAAACCAATAAAATATTTATTAAAAAATAAGAATTTTTTAAAAAGAAAAAAAAATTTTGTTATCCTACTAGAAGTGTTTTTGTGCTAAGCTTGTCGAGATGAAAGCTATTATTATAGCAATTCTATTAACGTGTTTCGTTGTAAGTTGACACACATAAATAATTTACATTTGACTCTTATATTAAATGGTATAGAAAATTTAATTTTGTAAAAACATAAAAGTGGTCATTACAAAATTTGAATTGAATGTGTCAAGATATGTGAAAAATAGTGAATGTTCAAAATTGAACCATGAAATTTTTTGAAAAAAAATGTCAGCAAGAAATGTGCAAAAACTTATTAAGAATTGAAGAGATGAAAAGATTTTAATGTAAAAATTAAACGGGCGTTTGATAGAAAAATTTATAGTAACCCTGACATCCAAAATGCAGTATTTTTATGTAGTACTATATTTTATCTGTGATTCATATTGTAGAATAAAAAATTTATACTAAATTTATACATTATTAATGCTAAAATTTTGTTTAAGCTATAGAGTAAGCAAAGAGCGTAATGAAAAAATCGAGACTACAATGCAGTCGTTTTACAAGTTTCACTACTGCAGTTAAATTGTAGGGAAACTTTCATTGAATTTTGGATTATGTTATGTTTACGAGAATTATGTTGACATTTTGGAACCAATTTCAAATTCAATTTTTTTGACGTGCTCTTATCTTTTTTCTACGCCTTCAAATGGTTAGCTGAAATTTTCACATAAACTATATGGATAGTGACACTTCGTCTAACTTAACACAATTTTTATAATAGTCACGTTAACTTAAATTTAAATTTCAAAATATTTTCATAGTCACGACTGCTCTTCGTAACTTCTTTCGAACAAATAATACAGTTAAAAAAAATTATATGTAGCGAATAAGTTGTACTTACTTACTTAATAATTCGATATAAATTTTAATTTTTTGTATTAAAAGGTGCCTGTTTATTGTAATAAGGTTTTCCATTTGGAAGTCAATTGCAAAAAGCAGCCTAATTTCAAATGGGAGTGAATAAGTGTTAATAACGTAATGAACCTAAAATTTTAATAGTTATTTTGTGCGCAATTTTATTTAGAATAGCTTTTAATATCTACTTAAATGTATGAATTATCACAAATTGATATTACATTATAGATTTGACATTTCAAAGTTTAAATATACGCCATCTGGTTTGAAATTTATTCATTATTATATGTATTTGTATTTATAAAAATATAAGCGTATCAGCTACTATACAATTAGCTTTACATTTTCTAATATAGAATTTTATATACTGAAATCACTAAAGTTTCTTAATTTTACGAAATAATTTTTGATTTTAGATATTTGCTGTCCAAGGGGAACCACTTAATTATAGAGTAGAAGTTAATTATAATAATAAATTGGAACACGAGCAATGGCATGTAGTGGAACATCCTGAAACAATTAGCTTTATAGTAACAAAGCTTACTTTCGATGATGATAATTTTTTTTAAACGTATTCAATTATATTTTTTCAAATTATTAAAATTGAAAACCTAATGAATTTAATACATACATGGCAATACTAAATATAAATTAAGGCAATAAAATAATTCGTTTTCTATTTATATATAATATTTAAGTTTAAATTTTTTTTTTATTTATTTTGGCATAATTTTACATAATTTTTATTATAAAGTCGGAAAGAGTTATACTTACATTATAGGCGTACATCGATCCCTTGTTTCCATATACGTATAAGAATTTAGTTTTAATATTAAAAGTGCTTAAAGGTTAAAAAATTCTAGTATACTTACACATTTACATATCTACACAGGTACACATTTTTAAAAAAAAATATAATTTATTTTTCACATTGTATTTTTTTTTTCTTTTATTATTCAATTCAAACAAAAAAATTCAAAGTTTATTCAAATGGTTATAATTTCCATTAGTTATTTCCAATATTTATTATTCAATTTATTATTTCTTAAAAAAAATATATATATTTTTAATAATGTACTTACGTCACCAATTAAAAGGTTATTTTGCGATGTCGAATCAGAGGATCAACAAAAAAAAACGAGATTTTAATTATTTTGATTAACAGGTCTGATCTGTTTGTTTACTTTTCTCGCAAAAATTCCAAAGAGAAATGAAAATTTAAATAAGAGAGAGTGAGAGAAATAAAACAGTAATTTTACTGTCAATGCCTCTTTGACAAAATATGAATTTCTTGAGTCTTGTTCTTACGAAGATTTACAAAAAAATTTCGTAAGCAAAAACAACTCGTATAAAATGACAATTCTTTTACTGTTACGTACCGACACTAATTTCATATTCTATATTTTATAGGAAATTATAAGATAATGAAAATTTCAGTAGCAATGGAAAAATTTACTATAAACATTTGAACTTAAAATGACCTACGTACAACATAAATGTTTTGTAATTTTGACAATTAATCAATTGAATAATAAAATTCATGTAAATAAAAAAAGTTTGAGTAAATATGTGAGGTTAGTGTGGGATATGTGACTATTTGAGTATGACTATGGGCCACTCAACTTTCTTACATTACCTACTTACAAGAAGAAATGACATTTCCAATTGACTTTATGGATTATCTTGTTTTGACAAATCAGAAATTTGTATGAAATCTTATGTACCTACATATATCTAATTATCTATGATTGAATTCTTAATTTTTTTTGAGAAATTTTAATAGTCGTAATCAAAAATTTTTTTCTCTTGCAAAACGATCCGAGCCACATTTTGAGGTTGATTAGGCCGTATTTTTCAACAATTTTAAAATTCTGAAAATCTGGCAACACTTTTTTATATTTAGTAAAAACAAGTCAACTGATTTTTACCAATTAATTTTGCATACTTTCAGGATAAGCTAAATGAAGATAACTTACTTTCAAAAATCATCTTTTGTGATTTCTACGTTTTTCTCCTTTGCATTTAATAATTTTCCATTCCTATTTCATTTTTATAAATAGTTAAAATTTAATAAATTAAATAAGTTACTCAATAAATAACAACATTAGTTATGCTTAAAATTGATACATAAAATTTTATTTCTTATGCCGAACCATTAATAAAAATTTCTTGTTAGTAAAATTTATTGAAAGAAAATAATTTATAATCTACGTTATTAATCCAAAAAAAACCATGAACGTATACGGGAAATTTTTCAGTCATACCGGAAAGGGAGAGAAACAGAGACCCTAATTGCAATTAAAATAAAATCCTTAAAATTTTTCTATAAATATTTTACGAAAACATTGAATCCATTAAATCATTTAAACGTTCTCGTCTTTCAGGTTCCTGTTGTCGATATTTTCTTAATTCTTCATAATCTGGATCATCTGTTTCGAGTTCATGACGGCACAAAGGACAACTGTTAGCCTATACAATTTAAAAGAAAGAAGTAAAAACAAAAACCAATATAAAAATTTTATAAATATTTGTTCACGCCAAAAAACCTTTGCTTTACCAACCTTTTTAAGCCATAAAAGTATGCATTCGTTATGAAACTCATGTTTGCATGGTAAAATTTTATAAACATCACCTTCTTCACCTGGCATTTTACATACAGCACATTCTAATTCTTGTGATTCTTCTTCCTTTGTTATATTATGTACTGGAAGTTTTGCTATAGCTTTTTTTGATGCTTCTGGTACTTCTATTTCAATATCAATTCCATTCATTATAGCTAATACTTGAAGTCTTTTAAAATGTTTATCAAAACTGTGTGAGAGTACGAGTTATGTAAATTTTAATAGGAAAAATTTATAAATAAATAAATAAATGTATATACAATTATAAAATTATATACATACTCTTCAGGGCCATTTGGTCCAGTTGGTTGATGTCCCAATTCTTCAAAATAATCTGACATATTTAAGATTGTCTAAAGGGTACAACTGAAATTTTCCAAACAAATACTTTAATTAATTTGGTATACTAAAATATATATGTATGTATATATACATAATTTTAAAATATAAAATATGCAAATCAAGTGTTTAATGAAAGTGTACCTATTTTTTATATTTTTTGTATTTCATAATATATTGATGGCGCGATTTAGACTCCAGGAATAATTCTCTTTTGATTATTTACAAATTCTTGAGCAAATGAGTTAATGTTAAACAATGGTTTAACATAATCTATGATGATATTTTATGAACCAACGCATCACTTTGCTTCGCATTCATTGATTTAGTCAAATAATAGATTTATAGAATATGTCGCAATAGGTTAATTGTGGCGTGTAATACACAAATCAGCTTGTATATTGTAATTGCTGAATTGACTAGTAGTAAAAGTTTAAATTATAGGTTATGTAAATTGTCTTTTTAAACTCTTTTTTCGATATTATAAATGATTTTCAATATCTTTCTAAAGTCCTGCAAATGAGTTACCTTATTTTAAAAGTTCCAACATTTATATGTTGGGGTTATAATGTACTAACCCAAAACGCCCAAACTGGTCTAAGTTTTACCTAGCTTCCAATATATAATATAGCTTCCATATACCTATCATATACCTAGCTTCCAAAATGCAATAATATAGTGTTAAAACACAATTCAGCTTATAAGTGTGAATTGCTGAATTGTGTATTAATATCGTCTTATACTGAATTTTTGAAGTCAAGAGTAATTTCAATGCTTAATATGTATAAAAGAATATTTAAAACGTCTAAACAGGTGCAAATTTCAGATCTTATATACATTAATTTCTTAAAGTGTAATAATATGATATTAAAACGCAATTCAGCTTATGAGTGTGAATTGCTGAATTGTATATTAATCCCGGATTACTGTATTTTGGAAGTCAAGGACAGTTTATTGCTCAAAATATCTGAAAGAAGACTTATATATCCTGAAAAGTTTTAAGAAAACTTAAAAAATTAACAAAACAAAAAGTAAATCAAAAAACTCTTTATTCTTTAAGGTTTTTGATGTTTATATTTTTCAATTAACTTCTTTTTTTCGGTTTTTTTTTTTTGTTTTTCTCAAAAAAATTGTATTCTACCACATTTTTCATTTTCGTTATCATTCTCGTTTTCATTTTATAATCATTATAAAAATTTACAGTCTGGATTGGATTACAAATAAAATATAAGCTCTAAAAGGGATCATCTAATTTTTAATTTTTCTTTTACATATTCTAAGATTATTTAATAATAATTAAATGTATAATTTAGTTATACAAATAAGGTCTTACTATAATGTATATTTAAATTAATACTCTAAGTATATTTAGATATAATATTTGTTTTAATGGATTATTATTTTATATATAATATAGTTAATTTAACAATTCTAATTAATAAAAACAAAAAATTAAATGTCTTATAGCATAAAAGTTACTTTATTTTTTTTTTTCAATAGTAAAATAAGTGCCCATATAGTATATGTCTATTACTACAAAATGTTTAAGAACTCAAAATTAATATTAGTATAGAGAATAAAAATCACATTATTTATTTTTGTATATAATTTATTTTTGTATTTTCATCAAATATATAACAGTCATATCATAAATTCCATTCGTATAGAATTCTAAAAATTACGACTTTTGACTACGAACATAATTTATGATTACTCTATTACGAATATTCGGAGCAGATTTTTAGTAATTCGGAACTGACATTCGGTAATACAATATGACATTCGTAATTTTCCGAATATCAGAGCTACGAACGGAATTCGTGATAAAGCTGAATATATTTCAATCGTAATTTTCCGAATTTCAGAACTAAGAACGGAATTCAATTTTTATTCATCTTTTACTATATTCATATATAGTCAATCAATAAAATAACGCTTCATATCTACATACATAATATATATATAGATATATATCTATATATACATATATGTATATATATATATTTAGGTAATTTACTTATTTTACTTATATTACTTGCATATTATCCTTGAAAAATTAAAAGTGTGCAGCCACATAATAAAATAAAGCATAATATTTGATATTTTCGTTATACAAAAAAAAGCACTTGAGATATTAATAATTACAATAATTTTGGTTTTTTAATTTCAATTACATCTATTTTATTTTTATAATACTCTATACATTATATAATTATTATAACATTATATTAGAATACGATATTATAATTTTTATTTTTTCATTCAATTTACATACTGTTGTTGAAATTGTTAGAAAAACATTTTAACTAATAAAATTAAATAATTTAAATATTAAAATTATATTGAAGTTAACAATATTATTTGCCAAATCAAAAATATACATGTGTTTCTTAACATTTAAATAAAATTATACTGCGGAAAACGCAGTATAGTGAAAAATCCGCTATATATATATTCATAAGCATATGCTGCTAACACATAATTTTTCTATAAACATCGTTAACTTTTAGCAAATTGTTTTGATTTTATGGAATAGTTAAAAAAATGGGCCGTTTCCCTGTATGAAATGACAAAACGAATCATGAAGAAAACATATTTTTTTTTCGAAATTTTAAATTTTTCACTTTATTGAAATAATTTTTGAAAATTTCAATTCCAAAAATTGCTTAATTATCAATTAATCATTTGCAAATGATTTTCATTTGCAAAATCAAGCGAATGACGTGATTAATTTATAATCATCAAATCTTTGACATTCTGGAAAATGGCCATATATTGTACATTCATTATGTTACATATTTTTAAAATTTTGCGCATTTTGCAGTATATTGCGTTTATGAAAACATCTATTATTATTGAATTCTTAAACAGTAAATTGATTTAATATAAACAAAAATGAAAAAAAGAACAAAAAAAAAAAATAAATGCAATTAACAGAGTTATTTCAGAAACACAAACAAGAAAAATGTTAAATATTTAAATGTCAAATTTATGTCAAAATTATTCATCATTACTTTTCTTTTCCTATTTTTGTTTTTTGGTTGTTGCTTCCAAGTGTTTATTGTAAATTAAATTTTAATTGACTTACGTTTATCATTGCAAACTATTTTAGAAAAAATTGTCAGAATAAAAAAAAAATATTAAAGAAATTTTCTAAATTTAATTTTTTTTATTGCAGAATGTTATTTATTTTTTCTGTTTTTTTCTTTAATTATTACATTAGACCTTTTTGTATTTTTGTATTTTACTAATTTTTTTTTTTTTTGTAAAGCACAAATCCTTTATATGTATAATATCTAAATATCATTTATAAACTGTTAACGTTCCGTAATTTTTTTTTTCTAATTTTTTATTATTAAAATTTCAGTTGTTTTATTCTGATTTTTGTGACAAAATTATCAAAATAATTATTTCAAATGTACAGTATTTTATTTTTATTTTCTTTTTAAAATTTTTTCAGGGCTGAATTTATATTGATTTATCTGCAAGAATAGCTATAATAGAAAACAAAATGAAAAGAATGTTGAACGTACCATAGATATCGTAATGTCAAATTTGAATTGAATTTTGACATTATGAAAAATAAATGACATATACAATAATTATTTATACGGTGACAAATACTATTGTTGTCATTATGTTGTATTAAACAGCAGCTTGTTAATAGAATGAAAAGTATAGGACCAGGACGAATGAAGAAATCAGATTATATAACGACATTACAATTTAAAAAACATTAAATAAACATACGTTTAAAATTGAAAGTCTGAATTGTGTTGTCGCTGTTTTCTTTTATATTTAATCATTTGGCAAGATATTAGAATGAATTTTCATTAATTATTCCTTTATCAAAAACCATTACCAATTAATACAATTGAAAAATATGTTTATATAGTCTCTCTATTCCAATATAATGAAACACAAAAATTGTCTTCTTAATGACAAGTGAAATATATATACATACATACTTGAGCGGTGACAAGATGTTGTGTCACTATATTAATTAATAATTAGTGACTTTTTACGATGAAATTAGTTAGCGATTGTATTTTTGAAAATTTATGAATGTCACTTGAAGAGAAATGTCAAAAAGTCACATAATTTTTATAGAATGTAATTTTTATAGAATTTTTTTATTTTTATAGAATGTCAACAAAACATCAGTTTGAATGATGGTATAAGATTATTTCAATTATTAATTTTAATAAATATCATCTCTTTCGCATTGTAAATTAAAAAAAATTCAATTTTATCATTATTTCATTGTATTGTTCAACATTATTTTTCATTTCCATTTTGAATTTTTATTCAAAAATATGTACCTACATAATGTCAAAGTTTTTGTATGCGATTAATTAAAATATTTCCTGTACGCATTATGCTACTTAATACTTTATGAATAAGCGCACATACAATGTAAAATTTTTTAGTTTTTCAAAACGCTTTGATTTAAAATTTAATAATGCAAAATTTATATATTAATTGAGCAGCTTACTTTCAGCCATATTCTCTGAAAATTGAATTGTGAATGTACCTAAAAATATTATGTTTCTCAGAAGACTCAAATACCTTTTATACATTCTTGATGAAAATCAATTTAACTTTTATCGTTTTTAATTCTCTTATTACATTTTGATTGCTTATCTTACCACATACGTTTTTGATATAAATTTTCATATTATATGCAATATATAGTTCATATCGTAAAATTGTTTAAATTTTTTTTTATTTTAACACAATACTCACTTTTACAATTCTTATAAAAAAATATTTTTTACCTTGTTTTAATTTAAATATTACTTAATTTCTCAAATTCATATCACAGGATTCGTTCAAATTTATGATAATTTTTGATCGTCTTTTAAAATTTTTATAATCGTGAATTTCTCTCCTACGTTATAGGGGCTTTTAAAATATTTTAATTAAATGTTATTTTTTTTAGAACTGGAATTTAATTAATTACATTAATTAATCGATATTTTGGATAGTTTATTTTAAATTAAATAAAATGTCTATGGGTGTCTGTCAAAATGCAGATCTAACGTCATTTTGACTTATGTGCAGTAATACAGATTTTATTACCGAATAAGTCAGTCTAAACTTATTAAAAAATTCATAAATTCATGAATTTGAGCAAGTTTTTTTTTTGGATTTATTGAATTTTTTTTTTTGTAGAATATCTACGAAATAAATTCATTTTATTAAATGAAAATTCTAATTTTATTAAAATATTAATCACATTATTCTCTCAGATACTTGTTAGAAAAATTGTTGACTAAAAATTATTTGTATAAAATTCTTGATTAGAATATTTAATGTATCACACCTTTTTGGTTTTTTATCGTAATTTAATGTTGAATTAAATCAAAATCAAATCAAATATGTGAAGGCATTTACCAAAGTCCAGATCTAAGGTGAATATGATGTATTTAAAATCATTTGATTTTCGGGTTCGGGAAAATGATAAAGTAGCATCAATCAATTTGTTAAGTACCACTTTTCCATCTCCGCAAATACGATAATCAAATTACATAATAAGGCTTCTGAATAAGTAAAGTACAGAGGCTCCTGAAAAAATCAACTTCAGACATTAGATCTGCATTTTGGTAGACAACCTATGATTTTGATACTTACTTTAAACTAAAAGTGTATCACTTAATTGTTCTTTGAAATTTTGAGATTTATCGTAAAATTTTTCAATACATAATCAATATCATAATTAGTATCGTTAATAAAATTTCCTTATTTTAAACTTAACACTAGAACACTAGAAAATATTCTAGTGTTAAGGAAAATTTAAAATTACCATCCTCAGTTAAAACATTTATATCTAGTGATACGTAAATTTGCATAAATTGCAATTACGAGTATAATTTTTCATAATCATATCGTTTTCATATCTTCTATCTAATTGTAATACAATTTTACATTAAGGGTCTTGGAAACTCAGAGCCTCCAGATTTTGAAATTAGAAAAATAAGAAATTGAAATGTATATAATTGAAATATATATGTATAATTGAAAAAGAATAACCTGTAATATAGAAAAGTTTTGAAAAACAATTTGAATTAAATAGATAATTTTTAATTAATTTATTAAATAGGCGTATGTCTTTCAAATAAATGAATATTTTGTAGATCTAATGAAAAAATGTCGTACATGCGTATATAGAAATGCTTTTGTTTTTTAGCATTAAATATGAAAACTTTGTAGACGAGTAGGTCATTATAAAGATTATGTTTTGTATATTTTTTTTTCAATCTATATATAAAATTTTGGATTTGTCTTTGAAGCAAATGCAAAATTCGAATTGTTAATTAAAATCAATTTAATAAATATTAAAGTATGGAGATTTTCAATAATTCGCACATGCATTGGAAGTTCTAAATTAAGTCTTGAAAGTTTTTTCACATAAACTTACAAATCTGCAGAAAATTAATAAATATTTTATTCTTGCAGATTTGTAACATACTCGAGTAATTGAATATTTTTGATAATTTAGTTCTTTTCAAATGCTAAATTTGAAGTAGGAGCTTTTAAAGAAGTATTTTTAAAGATGCAGCAATTTTTTGTCAGTATTTTTTGAAACTGTTTACAACACTGCAAACTAAAATCTTAAAAAATTTACTACTGCAAGTAAAAAAAATAAAATATTAAGAGATTTAGAAAAATTATATTTTCCAGAGACAATTTCTTTTTTAAATTGTTGGTTTTGGTTTCCATTTTTTGAATTGAATAAAAAACATTTGACACTGATTGTTTTTCAACAACTACAGAAGTTTCCTTTCCTGCAAGTAACAACGTTGCAGCTTCAATTCTTTTTCTTATAGCAGTTAAAATTACTTAAGTTTCAAGTTAGAAATCCAAGCGGAAACTGCATTTTCAAAAACATTCAATATCCACCACCTATTCTTCAATATCCACCATTTTTCTAGCTCTCCTTCTAATGTATAATATTTTTAAAACAGTAGTTTCGAAAAAAATTAAAATTCTTTTAGAACTTAAAGCACAACTGCTACTTTCGAACATACTATTTTTGGAGATTTGCAGTTTGAATATATTGAACGTGCTTTTATATTAAGATTTTAAGGTTTCAGATAGACATGCAATTTTTAGTTTTGTAATTGCTGTCTGATTGTAGAATCGTTACGCGTACATCTAACCAATTAAACTACTGGTGTCAGTACAAATCGAATGCATTTAAAAAGAAATTGTAATAAGTTTTATAAAAAAATACAATCTACTTTATTGCTTAATTGCATACGACCATACAGTTGAATGTGTGTCCACTTGAATTTAAGCCTATGGTATACAAATAAGCAATCAAACAGTTGCCCAACCAAAAATTGCATGTCTATCTGAGCCCTAATTTTGAGAACTGAATTATCGAAAATCCCCTATTTAAATGTAAACGAAAGGAGTTTTCAAAAACAAAAAAAAAAATTTCTTTTTTTTCTACAACATTATGGTCAAGATTATTTTAATTTTATTAAAAATTTTATATTAACATAAAAGAAAAAAAAAAGTAAAAATTTTACGCAAAATTTTAGTGCATTATAAATTTTTTTCTTTTATTTAGTTTTTCATTTCTTTTTTTTTTTTTCTTCTTTTAATTTAATTTTTTTTTAACTGAAAACTTTTCTTTTTTTCATCTTCTTTTTATGTACAGGTCTAGGAATTTTCTTGCATTTTATTTTTAATATTTTCTTAATTGTTTTCTTTTTTTCTTTACATTAACTTATATGTACTTAATATGTACTTCTCTTCTGATAGTTTAGATAAAAAAAAAATAAACAAAAAAAAAAAAAGTGATGTAAATTAAAAATTTTAATATAATTATTTAATTTTTAAATTAAAATATTGTATATTATTATGTAGATACTTAAAAATTATTTGATTATTGCATTTTATTTTATATAATATATGTATTTATATATATATATTTATATATTTCTTTATTATTTTAAATTTATTTTTCATATTTATTCTATATTTATTATATATAAAATTAATTTAATATCTTATTTCATATTTTAAAGCTATATAATTCTTTTTCTTTATTCTTCTCTTCTTTTCTTTCAATTTTATAATAATTTTATAAGTAATAATATGAAAATTTGATATTATCAACATTCAAAAAGGAAAAAATAATAATAATAATAATAATTAATTCTTAAATATACAAAAAAAAAAAAAAATTATATATCAATATGATCGATATTTGGTCTCTTAGATTAATAAAATTTAAATAATATTAAAAAAGAAAAAAATTTAATTTAAAGAAAAATATATAATATAAAATTTTACAAAGATTTATTTAAAATGATCAGATTATAGTGAACATACTACTATAGTTGTCTTTCTAAAAAAAATTTTTTTTTTTTACATATTAAAATTGATTTGATGACATTCATTTTACATATTTAAAGCATTTTAATTTTTTTTTATAAAAATATACATAATATTATAATAAGTATTGAGCATAAATATGGAAAATAATAGACAAAAAATAAAATACAAAAACTAATTTTCAAATTTACAAAATTTTTAAAATTAAATTTTAGAACAAGCTAAATACAAGAAACTTATGCACACAAATTCAACTTTAATTAAAAAACTTTCCGAAAAAGAAAATAAAAAGTGAATGTATCCTAATCACTTTAAAATTGCAATAATTATAGAATGCAAATGCAATTTAGCAATTGCATTTCATATGCTAAAAAAATAATGTATTGAATATTAATAATATTAATACTGTATTATTGCAATTTTAAAGTCGTAGGCAGCTTATAATGCAATATAATAAATTATTATTTGAACTGTTAAAATTTAAGGATATTAAGGATATAATTTTTTGTTTGGCATTAATTCGTAAAATAGTACCTACACATATACATACAATAAAATTTTATAAAAAAAAAAGAATAATTTTTTTTTTAATTAATTCTTGTATAGAATATGTTTTAATTTCTGATAATTTTTGTAAGATTTCAATAATAGTATGAAATAGTAAAAAAAAAAAAAAAAATTATTAAATGTGGCGGGCGCCTATTTATCACAAAAATCCAATTGAAATTTTATAATATATTCTCTATACATATATAATATAAAAAATTACTTAAATTTTAAAATTTAATATTTTTTACTAATGTAATTTTATAATAATAATTTTCTAATTTTGTATGAATCTATGAAAATTAAATATCATTTATTAAAAAATTAATTTAAGAAAATTTAGGAAATCAAAAAAAAAAATTTATAATATGTATTTAAATTAGTCGTCAATGAGTGAGATAAAAAAAAAAAAAAATTAGAGGATAGAAATCTCAACAGATACATTAAAATATCCTGAGTCCATGTAAAGTTATATATATATATTATAAAAATTTTTAAAATTCCAAACAGATTTTAATTGATTTGAATTGATTTTATTAATTAAATATTTTTTTTTTTGAATTTCCTTTTCGATTAAATTTTAAATTGTAAAATTTTTAAAAATATTTTCTATTAAAATGTTAGCCGCAGTATAACGCCACTTATTTATATTAATTGGCAAAATAATAATGATTACAGAAAATCGTTGTTGCTAGATATGTTCTTTTTTTTTTTGCATTTCCGGGAGGAATCAATTCCTCCAACATGAGAATTGAAAACTCTAAATTTGCGATTGTGTGTGCCACTTTGGCATACAATTATTTAAAGAACTCAACCGGTTATCAGTAATAAAAAAAAGAACATATTGTCTGAGCTTTCTGCAATCGTATGGCGGATAACAATAGTTTAGAGTTTAAAAGTTACAATATGGGGAAAAAATTTATTATGGGAGAAAATAGAACGTGTGCATCTACTAATTATAAGATTTAAAAAAAAATTAACATTCTTATTATTATCTTCCCGCTTTAAATACATATGTAATGTGTTTATAAGGTTTACAATAAGTGATTATAGTTAAGAATAATTTAAATTTACATTATTCTTATTTGAAAAAAAAAAAATGGTACAATTATAGTTATACATAATAAATATACTTTTTGTTTTCAAAACCGATTCTATGAATTTGAGCACATTCTATAAATTTAGAAAATAAAAATATTTCAAATTTTACATTTATTTTACAAATTGTTTTTTTTTTTTTTAGAATTTTTATAAATTTTAAAATGTATAAAATTTTAAAAATTTCTTTATATAAGCATTTATCAATAATTACAAAAAAAAAATATTCCCTTAATTTTAATGGCACATTTCCGGCTTTTTTGCAAGCTTACTGCAGGTCCGAAATTTTTTTTTTGTTTTTTCATCTTTATATCTACATAAATATTGGGAAAATTTGAAATCTTCTACTTATCTTTTTTTTTTTTTTAAGCGATTTTAACATTTTGGTAATTTTGCCCAAAAATATTTTTAAATAAAAATTTATTTATAAAACTTTTTAAAATATTTTACATAATTTTTTAATATATTTTCTTTTTTTTTTTTTATAAAAACGTAAGTATAAGTTTAATTTTATTAATTTTATGATATAAATAGAAATTTTCGGATTTTAAATAGTAGATAATTGATAAATTTTTATAATATGATTTTATTACTCTTTTTTTTTTTTTTTTAATTTTTATTTTCTCTTTTCTTTATGTGTTAATAATAAATTAATGTCCAAGTACTTAAAATTTAATTATGTTAATATTTAATATAAGTTTATTAGAAATAAGAATAATTATAATAATTAATAATATTAATTTTTATTTCTTTTTATATATATATATATTTTTTAATAATAATAGTCGGAACGTTAACTTAGCATAAGTCATTTGCATCGAAAAACTAGTCAAAACAAAAAAAAACTTTCCCTATTTTCTAATGTGAACTATTATTTAATATTGAAGTTAATAAATCTTACAGCTTTCTATTACAAAAAAAAAAAAAACAAGAACAGAAAAAAAAAAATCTATTAAATAATTAAAAATTAATAATAATAATAATAAGAATTCTAATTAAATATTATTAATCTGTTATTGATATTTGCGCAAAACCGATCAGTGATTTATCATCGGGCACTTCACCAGGTTGACAGCCAGAATTTAATTGGAACGTTATTGATTTCATTTGCATTCGATTTTGAATTAATTTTTGTAAATTAGCTGTCATTGGTAAGGTATCTAATGGATCAACCAAACCAGCTTCAACTAATTCACCTGATATACCATCAGCTGAATCTTTACCAACAGCAAATTCAAATCGTATATCATGAAGTTCACGTCTTCCATTACGCATTCTTAAGACTAGATTAACTGGTGGCAATTCATCTGTTGAATTTGAAGGAATAACATTACCCATAGCTTGAGTTAAAGGAGAAGCAGTAATTAATGAACCACTTGTATTAGGTATAATATTAGAATTTATGCCTGCAGTAACCATAGCAGTAGCAGGTGTTGAAATAACTTGACCAGATCCACCTGTTATTATTTTTTGACCATCTGTTATTGGGGCTGTTGCTGATTCTGCTGTTCCAGTAAATGTACGTTCTGATACCTCAGATGGATATTCACGATCACTATCAGATGATTCAGTACGTTCTAATCTATTCATTGGTCGTTCATCTGTTTCTGAATCCGATGAACGTTTATCTTCTTCTTCACTAGACCAAACCCATTCACCGGTAACGGTACGATGTAATCGACCCGATGCACCTGGTTGTCGTCGTGCAGCTTTATGTACTCGGGTTTCCATTGATGGACCAGTAGTTAATAAAGTTGAAGCTAAATATTTTCTATCTTTAGCTTTTTTAAAGAATTGATGTTTTAATAATTCACTTGCCGATGGACGCTTTGTTGGTTCTTTTTGTAAACATTCGACAATCATTTTGCGGAACGTTTTACCATATGCCTTATATTGATCTTTTTCTTCAGCACCCGTATCTAATGTAGGTGGATCATTTTGTAAAGTTAACATTAAAACTTTCATTGGCGGATATTTATGATATGGTGCCGTTCCAGTTGCCATTTCAATAGCTGTTATACCAAATGACCATATATCAGCTTTAAAATCATAACCATGATCCTGTTCCATAACTTCAGGTGCCATCCAACATGGTGTACCAACAAAAGTATGACGTACTTTTTGTCTTGATAAATCTCTACCAGTTGCTAACCAAGCACTAACACCAAAATCAGCTATTTGAACAGTACCATCATTACCTAATAATATGTTACCAGCTTTAATATCTCTATGAATTTGTCCATTACTATGAAAATACTCTAATCCTTTTAGCACTTCTTTTAAAACGGTAGCAATTGTTGGTTCATCAAAAACACCATGTTTACAATTTGTTGTACGCATTTTATGCTTTATAATATCCAATAAACTTCCACCTTCAAGTAAACGTAAAACTAACCATAATTCTTCTCGTACAACGAAACTAGTATGATAAGTTACAACATTTTCATGATTACAACTTGACATTGCTTGAATTTCTTTTAATAATTCATCCATTGATGTATTCCATTTTTCAAGATTAATACGTTTAATGGCACATTTTTCATTTCTTGGAATACATAAAGCTGCATGAACAACAGCAGTTGCACCAACTCCAATAACATCACGCAATTCATAATCATCCTTTTTATTTGGCCATGATGTTTTTAATTCTCCAGTAGATGAATGTGATGATAAAGTGGTTGCATTATTCGTTGTCATTTTGTTGTTCATTTGTTTTTAAAATTTTTCGTTTATTTTTTTTATTTTTATATTCAATTTGAAATTTGAATTGTGAATTGTGAAAAGTAGGAAAATAATAAATTTATTCGAGTGCTGCAGTGATTACTTGTATAAAATCAAATTGCAAAAAAGGACTATTTTCTGAGATATTTTCTATTTTTTTGCTTTTTCTTTTTATTATTTAGATCTAGATTTCAATTGTATATTGTTTCCAAATCAATTCCAGGATAAAATCTTCAAAGCTTACGAAATTTTAAACCAGTCTTTCTTATGTGATGATGTGACATTTATTTGATGTTGATTGTTTAGTTGCCGATTAAAAAATTTTGGTTTTCTGAAACGAATTTTTAGAGAAGAATCCTCTTTAAGTCGAAATTATCTTAATGTAGTTTATAGTAATATTGTTTTTTTTTAAATATAAGAATCAAAGAAATGAAAAACAAAGAAAAAATACAAATATAAATTAAAATTATAAAAGTTGAAGAAATGAGTAAAATATTAGTATAAAAAAAAATATAAAACTAAAGAACACTCCACAATTTCATATTATAAAAAATCTTAAAATTAAAAAAATGTTCTTTAAATTCAGTTTTTATAGCCGTTCCGAATTAAATATAGTTTTTAAATAAATTTTTATTTAATAATGTGGCAAAACATGCTTTTTATGATAGTTAATAATCATGTGAATTTGATTTATACGTTCTTTATTATAATTTTATTTTTTCAATATTAATTTAATTGAATTTTAAAATTAAAATAATTTTACTAAAGAAATACGGAATTTAATTTATTTTTAAATAAAAATTAAAATTTATTTAACATTGTGCACAATAAATGCATGATTCATGCATGTAAACTGCTTAAAAAATACGATCAAAGAAGAAAAAAAACTGTTATACAGCCAATTTATTAAAATTAAACAAAGTTTGCTTATGCATTTAATTTTTCGTTTTAGTTATGCATTATTAAAAATATTTTGCATATATCTAGGAGAATACGCTATTTTTCTAATGTTTATTAAATTTATATGAAAATCTTACTAAAGAGAAATTCGCTTATTATTTTTAATTTGTGAATTTATGAATTAAAATTAAAATTTGGAAATTATAAATTCTGCATTATTGCTATTTCGAAGTCGCAGAAATTTTTTGTAGCGCGAATTTTGTTTTTGTACATATGCAATAATTATATTCGTGTAAATTTATAATATTCATATCTGTTATACGGTTATACCTAAAAGATTTCTCTTAATTCCAAGTCTAAATTTCTTATTATCTGCTTTATTTCTTATTAAAAGCTACAAATATTTTTGACTTTAAACTTGCAGTAACACACAATTTTGCAATATTATTTAAAATTGTTTTAATAGTGTTACTGAAATGTTGAAATTAAACATTCTTAAAATTCCGTAGAATGCAAATTTATAGATAGAACACATGTTAATCCTAAATGTTAAGGATATGTACAGTAAAAGAGAAGTTATTCAATCCAACATTTTATTGAATTCGAATTAAGAATAACTTATATTATAAAAAAATAGTAAAAAAATAGGCAAAGAATTTGAGAGTTCGCACTGCACACGTTAAATAACATTTTTTCCAATTAATTTTATATATTTGATGGGTGTTATTTATTAAAATAATAAAAAAATAGAAATTTCAATTTTTCTCAATTTTGATTTATTACTTAAGATTTTTATCTTAAAATTTTTTTCTTATTATTTTATCTATAAAAATAAAAAATAATTTGAGCATAGCAAATACGTTCAATCTTTCTTATATTTAAAAAAATATATTTCCTTATTTGATTTCGAAAAACCTATCAACAACAATATAAAAATTTTTTTAAATGAATTAAATTTGAGTAACTTAGGTTCACAATTAACAGCTAAGTGTTCAGTTTTTATTGATATTAACCGATATTGTCGCCATTAATTTAAAACAAGAAAAGAAAAAAAAATGTCTGGAAATTTAATAGTAAATTATTAATTGTGTTTAAAATTGAAAATCATTCAGAAATTTTATAATATTTTCTTGGTCTTACATATTATATTTGCTTACACAATGGCATAATGCATTTTCTGTTATAATTCTAGATTATTATAATTAAAACATTGTTTATTAAAATTATGGATAAGGAGAATGCACATAAACTGCTTCATTGTTCACTTTCCTCAAAAAAATTGTTTAATCAATTTTGTAGAAAAAGTAATTTGTTCATTTAAGTAGGTAATGGATAAGAAGTGGCCCATACTCATTACTCATTTAGTACATATTTTGCCCATAACCCACAAAACTTTGCCGATTTCAAATAAATGAACAATTTGTTGGGCACGTTCAGTTTTAAAATTATTACTATTTGAATTGAGTATTTTGCTTTCTTAGAAAATTAAACTTTAGAAAATTCGAACATTGTAATGTAACAATGAAAATTTTTAAAAATATTCTGAATTAAGTAAGACGTAATTTAGTTTATTATTCTTATTGTATTTGTAATCTCTAATATAACTCTCAGAAATACTTATACATTCATATGTAAATTATGAAAAATAGCTCTCCAAATGATAATCTATAAGACATAAAAACAATATTGTTATCCACAAAATTTATGTTAAGTACATGATTTTTATAATAGTCAACTACAATATACTTGGAAAACCTATTGAATTGAAGTTTTTAGTGGTAAGTTTAAGAGACTATAAATTAAGTAACTTAAGGTAGACAAGTAACCATATTACGATTCATTTCTGGTTATCTATTTTATTTTCAAATTGTATTTAATATACAAAGATAGCCAGTCTTGCTATAAATCTTAAATGAAATACTTTAGATAATTTGATCTTTTGTTTAAATAATGTTTGCAAAAGAAAACTTAAATTCTTAATTTTAAGAAAAATAAAAAATTCATTAGTTTGCAAAAAATTTTTTCATTGATAAAGAATTTTGCTATCAGAAATAATAATAATCCATTATTATTTCATTAAAACTTATTTCTCTTGAGACCTACACAATTGTACTAATTGTCGACGTTCCATTTGAAGCTATGTAACATTACCAACTACTCCAGAGTAGTTTGTAAACACATTTATGGAAAGCAACATTTTGAAACCTTGTTACATAGCTCATACAGGGTGAATACCTAAATTCAGATTTTGCCACAACTTTATTTATTCAGGAGTACACTAATTAAGATAAATTGTAATAACTAATTAAAACAAATTAGCTTCTAAGAGATATTAAGATTCTATCCACAAAAGTTAATTATTTGACGCCTACTCCCATTATATAATTAAATAGACATCTATCGGATTAAATATACGTAATTAATTCTCTCATCTAAATAGGCTAGTGTAGTTCGTATAGTTCTTATACGTTTAGAATGTTGATCAATACCCATACCAATAACATTATACTACGCAAGTTATCTTACTATATTCTTTATGAACAATTGAAATAATGAAAAAATAAAAAATTTAAAGTGATTTGATCATACACACGTTGGTGATTTAATTGGAAATATTGATAAAGAAAAAATAACAAACAGAAAACATAAAAAAAAAATAGAAAGTGTTTTGTTGCCAATCAAAGTAGTTTAATGATGTTCATTGGTTCGTTCGTTCGTTCTATTTAAACATTTTAAAACGAAAATGACTTTTTTGTTTTAAAGTGCTTAGTGATTGTATGGATGTTTTCATAAAGTGATAAAATCAAATTCATTTGATATATATACTTTCTATTTATATTTTAATTTCCAATGAAATTTATTAGGGACTTTACTATAAGATTTTTATGGAACTTTTGTTTTCCCCTATACAATATTGATTCTAACAATATATTAAGCAAATCAATAAATATTAAGTGATTTGAAATACTTAAATATATTATATTTCTTTATGATTTCTATATATATATATATATATATGTGTGTGTGTGTATTAATTTTAATAATTCATTCAATTTAAAATCGATAAAATTTAATATAAAATTTTTAGGTAGCTTTCATTTTTCCCCCTTTATATATACAAAAGAAATTAATTGAAGTGCGCTATTATTTGATTGGAATATTCATGTAGTCAAAAGTTAATTGGAGTGGATAAATATGTATATAGGTTTTTCTTGTTTATTAAATTAAATCATCGATTAACAAATATTACTAAAAGAATGGTTTCATAAAAAAAAAGTAATTAATCATTTATAAAGTTTTCAAGGATAATTCCATAAAATACCTAGTTGTTATAAATTATAAATTTTTTTATTGAACTTTATCAACACAAATCAATTATATGACTTAAAAATTGTTGTAATCCATGATCTCTGGTAATACTAGCAGACTATAATCTCTGAATTGTGCAGGCATTATAAGAAAAATCTGATGTGCCAGTACATGGCCGGCTGCAATATAATACACATTATCTATTTTAAGGATATTAGTAAGCTTTTAGTTATCATATCTAGAAAAATGTAAATTTAGCTCTTCGTAGAGTTTCGTTTTGTGCCATCTGAATTGGCTGAAAAGTTTTTCCAGTTAATTCGCCAGTTGGAAACAATTAGAACTCAAATATTAAATTTCAAGAAATTTCATCAATCAGTTCCGTAGATATGATAAAAAATGTAAAATCGGCGCCAAGTTCGGTTTCCGAGTCCTGATCTTTTCAAAAAAAGTTTATAGATTCATTGTTTTAACAACCCAAATTTAAATATTTATTGTTAAGGGAAATAATCCCTTTATATGCGCAAAAAATTTGAAATCGGCACGCAAAAAGTTTCAGTTCCCGAGGCCTGCCACATCCCAAAAGTTGATCAATTCGTGATATAGCCGAAATAAATTAAAATTTCATATTTAAAATCGGTTCAGCCGATCTTAAAAAACGATCTTTTTAAGTAGATCTAAAAAACTTCATTTATACTTTCCTATTATGCATAAGTGTGTTTCCACCGAAAATTCGATATCAAAAATTTGCTGCTATCATAATATCGTCTCCTTTATAGTATGCAATGCGGTCGATAATTATAAAGTAAGAAATAAAAATTCTTCAATTCGTAATTGAAAATGAAATTATTTCTAATAAAATATTGAAATAATAATCCGTTTTTAAAAATAACAAAACCTAACTCACATTAATATGAAAAGTATGTTGCACCAAACACAATCATTTTCCCTAATTACATATAATTTGATTCGATATAACATACTTAATAGGAACAGGAAATCATTTACTTCAACAAACATAACCTACTATATAATTTATAGATACAGTAATACTGTAATTATATTTTGATCTTACACTACTGCCTTTATATGTTAACTATACGTACATACATATATTTTAGTGTG